AGTTCGTTCCACGCGTTCTATTGGCTGGAGGATGGTGCGCTTTTGAGGGTCATTGAACTTCATTGATGGAGCAGACCCTTCAGCGCACTGGGAGTGGTCGAGATCGCCTTTTGACGCCCTTCCGATAGTGACGTTCAGGCCGATGTCATAGTTTGCGAATCGAGCGATTCGCTAGCGAATCGCTGGATCGAGCGTTGCACCAGCGAATCGAGCTGTGCACCAGCGATCGAACTATGTGCCAGCGGATCGAACGATGTACCAGCGACTCAACACTGTTTGAAAGTGTGGTACATCGTTCGATCCGCTGACACATAGTTCGATCCGCTGGTTGCACAGCTCGATTGGCTGGTGCAACGCTCGCGTCGTCGCTAGATTCGCAAAGTCTGACATTGGCCTCAGTGGTGTCATCAAAACCGCAACACTCTCCAGCCATCGTGATCACTATGAGTAACTTCTCCTTCTGTTTAGCAACATGGAAGGCATGAACTTCGCTTCAGAAAGTATGACGAATAAGCATGGTGATGCATTCCTTTCCCGAACTCACTTGTCAATTGTTGCCTATGAGAAGGTGAGTTGGTGAGTTTGTTTAGGTCTTAGAAAAGGCTTCTCTTCCGCTCTCAACGTTTATCCTCATAGCTGGCCCACGTATTTGTTTCCGTGTTGAGCTCTGCCACTAAAACCTTTTCACCTTGATTGCAGAGACAGCCATGACCACTTGGGCGAAGCAATCTGAGCATTTTTTGGATAAGGAAACCTAAAATTTTGACCTTAAACTAAGCTTTATTTTTTAAACACATTGCTAAACAGTCCATTTCCTCACCTCTCTTCGTTAACCTTCAACTGTGATGATCGATGATCAGCGAATGCGATCGACTCTTGATACCTTGTCGCTCGAGGGCTACACTGTGGGTTTGTTGAGGAAAATAGGCCTTCCTTGGTGCAACGACTGGTTTCCGGCACAGAACTATTAATGCACCGGAAGCCGGCTGCTCTCCTCTTCTGTTGGACCTCACCTGGCAGCGATTTCCACTTTCAGCTAGCAATTTCTTCATTTGGATTTTGACGATGTCACAATTTTGATGCATTTTGCCTAGAGTTCCTTTGAAAATCTTCTATTCACCAAAAATCAACAAAACTTGTTTGCCTAACATGGTCAAGACGACTGAAGGCAAGACGAGCTCCACCCTCAATAAATAGATTTTTTTGCGAGGGAAACTCACTATTGTTGACGAGGGCAATTTTCCGTGATAGGACTTTACATACTATGTAGACGTGAGGAAGCTAGCCGCTCCACTTTTATGCAACAACACTCGGTGTCAATGTTGAATTTGAGCAACTGTAGAAGGGCACTGCCGTGCTATAAACGGGTGCAGCGCCAAAGTACGCTTCCCAGAGGAGTCTGCTAGGCACTGGTTTACACAGCTGCTATCTCTAAGGTACTCTCACCGAGCGTGTGTAAAAAAATCTGTACAATTCTGTGCAAAGCATCTTTGTTCATTGTACTTCGTATAATGTATGCTATGGTTTATCCTCCCGCTAGCGAGTTATGAGCAACCAACCCACCACGTTCCATTTGCAGTACTCCCGCTGCAATTCAGCTGGCTCCACTTCAAACCGTAGGAGAAGGACCTGCAGCCCGTGCCATTGTCCAAATGACCGAAAGGCGTCTGAGTCGATGTCTCTATCCTCCCATAAGAGCCTAGTACTGACTGGCCACCTCGAAAGACGTTAGGTCAGCTTAGATGAGGTCCGATTCGAAGTGATTTTTGGGATGGGGGGGGGGAGAGTTCTAGTTGACATAGCAAAGAGCAGTACCTTTTCTTTACGTGAGAGGAACCTATAAGCGAACCAATCTAGAAGCAATAGTGCCGGACTAATACGGTTGGCGTTCGCGAGAATGCTGAAATGATCTCGGAAACATGCGCCTACAGATTGAAGGAGTGCATCAGCAGAAAAGTAACAGAGTGATCGCACATGCGATCTGGAAATTCGGCAATCTTGCATCAAGCGAGACTCGGATGCAGGATCGGGATAAGGATTGACGGGCAGGAGAGCGAGCAGATCAAAGCGGCGTTGAAAGGAAGAGTCTCGATGCAAAGGGATAGGGGGTATGGGCCTGTATGGCGTATCGCGGAAGGCGAGAGTCCGCGGATTAGTAATGAGCGGCGGTAGCCTGTCCGGGAGTGGATGGAAACCCCGAGTTGAGCTGGATGTCGAGGTGCACGGCGCGTCCCTGACAACACTGACAGTCTCCGGCCCTTCGCTTCCCGTTCCTGTAATGAAGATGTGAGCTTGAAATACAGAGGTGTCCGTTCTGTCATAAAAGGACCGACTCTATTCTGCATGTACCTACCTCGGCCGTGCACCACCTACCCTCTATTTGAAAAAATCGAGAAGAGCGTCGAGTGCAGACCACACACCACAAGTGACGACGGCCAAGAAAAAATGGCTTTTCTTTCTTTTCTTGGCCGTCGTCACTTGTGGTGTGTGGTCTGCACTCGACGCTCTTCTCGTTTTCCGAAGTAGAGGGTACATCCCTGCAAAAATTTAACCAGCTGGGCTATGGAATGGTGCTGCGAACATCCTACTCAGCAGATTTCATGCCTACAGAGTCTTTCTTTTTCCAAGGCCTGGGTAGCTCTAATGAGGAGAAATGTTCTGAAACCAGACAGGAAGCTAAAACGACCTCCATCGGGTTCATCGCCTCCACAGCCCCTGTGTTCTAAACCAACAAACCGCGTTAAGTAACATAACAAGAAAGTAACGCTAACATCACTGTAAGGGGTTCGCAGTCTCTAAGAATTTTACTTTCGATTTGGGAACGTATTGTTCAAGCCGAGATGCATTTACTTGAAGTTCAGGGTCAGAAAACAATAGAACTTTTCAAAAGACCTAATGAAATCGAAAAGAGGCGAGCTTCAAGAAATATGAGCCAACATGTTGCAACCTTTTTGTGGATACCCTACTCATTGTAGTTCCACACAGAATTGTGCTAGCGCAAGGCCGGTAGATTGTAATAGGACTTGGCTTTGCTGGCAACTCGCTTGCATCGCTCAGGAATTGGACCTTTCATGCTTGTAAACCATCTTATTGAAATATGGACTAGCAATATGCCGCAAGGAAGTCCGCTCGATAGCAATTAGAAAGAGAGATTCTCAAAAGAAAGAATGAATGAGCTGGTCCAGCGCTATTTCGCTCTTACCTTCGAGGTCTTGTTCGTGGAGTTGCAAAGCCCTTTTTATGACCTGTTGTGCTGGATACCGTTAGCCTAGCAACTTCGTTAAAGCGGTCGACGGAAGTTCCATGGAGAGCTTTACCAGGAACTGATGAGTTTTTGAGACCAAGGATTGGACAGTGAGTTATTATTGGGGTTGAGCAATAATTAGCCGCTTTTTTCATTCCCCTCACAAGTTTCCAAAAAACAAAACTAAAACAAATGCGTAATCAGCAAACGTTCTCGGAAATCTCCTCTGTGACCGTGCTTTCACTCCAGGCTTTGTTTGTAGTGGTCTACGAGCAGATGCAGAAGCATTCGCTTTCGAGCTGCCTTGCACTCATGCAGGCATGAGTCAATCTCTTTTGCTCACGTGTAAGGCTCCAGAGTGAGAGCAAATATACAAAAGTGTTTTACATCAAAATGTGCGAGAAAGATTGCGCGCTTCCAGACTACATCAATAGTTCGCAACTAATCAGCAGAGATCAAAAGCCATTATGCCTTAAGAGTGAGAAATTACGATAGATCTGCAGGAATCTTGCGCGGAAAATTCTTGCACTCTTTCCTAACATGAATATGTCAGTTGTGATCACTGGAAATAGCACACAAAGTTTCACGCATGAAGATTCGGTTTCTGAAGAGAAACAAACGTACAAAAACTACACGTTATGGACCATCGAAGGACCAGGAGGCAGAGCCAGGCGAGGCATGGAAAGAAGACGGCGTTTGGCCGGCTACGTACCAGGCGACGCAATGAGAGAATCGGGTTAAAGTACTTCGTATAGCATACACACTCCTGGTTGATTTCAAAGAGTTGGGAACAGCACGCTGAGTCTTAATTAATTTCGGCCATTCCTGTACATTTCAGATACAGCTCAGAATACACTGTGTCGAAAAACATAAGGACGAACGTAGTTTTTCCGAACCGTGTTACTGTCGAGCAGCATAACGCTGTGTAATCTTACCACGGAGAGCGCTGTTACAGAGCAGTAGAGAAAGCAATCGACAGGAGCCGTCAAGCGACCTATGGAGCTATATCATAGAGTTATCTAAGTTCATCTATTCGTCTGTCCTTACGTTTTGCATACACGCAGTGCATTTCCGAGAGCGAATAATCTAGCTCGCATACTACGCTATTGTTTACATAGAGAGAAAAATTTAACCACTGAGCATGAAGCTATATTCCATATGTTTCAATCAGAGAGGCTTACCACTACCTACTGCTTAAACTTCTCTATTCTAGAACTGGACCAGTTTGCTGTGCGAAATTTCATAAATTTGAGTGAGAACGAAACATTGGAAGCATCTGACGAAGCACACCTAAATTCGACGACTTCGATCTAAGTGTTCTTGAAAGCATTCACCATTCAAACCTCGATTGAATATGTAAGGCAGTTCCCAAATTAATGTCTAGCAGTTGTACTGAGTTACTTTAGAGTATTGCTCCTGTCGTCTAGCGGGTAGGTGTCGCTTCTATCAGTTTGTTTCAAACGCACGCAACGATCGAACATTGGTGTATAAAATTGAGCCGGGCAGCTCTGTCATCACTACACACAGCCTCGTCAAATGAAACCCTCTTCACTTCACTGAGGATTATCTCCGACTTTGATTTCATTCGATCATTTAGGGATGAGGCTCACTCTGTTATTACTCGTGTTAGTTGTATCAACCCAGGCAGGCTTGCTTGACAAGGTCAAAGATTTTTTCAAAGGAGGTTTCGGTGAAAACCCCTTTCTCCCTCAAGACCGACATTGTCAAAGTTCAAAAAGGTGAGCGCAAATCGCGCATGGTTGAAAATGGTTACCATTCGTGGACTTTTCAGCTGTTCGAGAAAACTGGTATCCTTTCACTTGGCAGCAAGTTGTCTGAGATGAGAAGCAAGGTCATGAAGAAGCTGGAACTTTCGAAATTGAAGCGAGAGGAAGTTGAAAGAAAGCTCAAGGTAAGCGAAATCCAAGCAACCAAGACCGCCGGAAGATATTCTAATTGCGTTACGCAAATGATTAAGGAAGTTGAAGCTAGACAAGACGATACTGTTGAAAACTTGAAAGACACGATATACGAGATCAACGCTGATGGAGAATGTCGGCAAATCCTTATTCCAGAGTGATATCCTGCTGACTAAGTGACTTGCTCATTTCCATTCACATTCGAGAGGATGTGTTGCCTTTTTGCCAACAATAGCTTCTAGGAAGCAAGCTGAAGAAGTTATGGATGCTGTGGATGGTAGGCAGACCCAAGAGACAAGCGTTTAAGGATGAAAATTACCCTAATAACCACGTGGCAACAAGGAGTCTTCTACCGCTTTGACAACAGCACAGGTGTGTTTCAGACGTGCCATTTTTGGAAGCTCCGCTGATCCTCTGTAAGCAGTTGAAATTGAGAAGAATTGAATTTCAGACTATTACACTAGGAAAATGTTCGAAATGGGAGCTAAACAATGGGAAGAAGCAACATGCGTCGACTTCAAAGAGGACAAGGATAAAAAAGGTTCAATTATCAAGCACGAACGAATGCTAACAATATGACGATCAAATCCGTTTCTAGCTAATGACAGTATCGTGTTAATCAAAGAGGACGGTTGCTGGTCGTATGTAGGCCGTGTCGGTGGTGAGCAGCCCCTTTCGCTCGGTAACGGCTGTGACCAGGTAGAACGCCAAGCTTTTACTAAGTCCGGATGGCAGCCTAGCGGCAACTTGTATAATAGCTTTCCTCTTACTACTGCCTACTGCTATGCAAATTCTAGATTGGTATCGCCACACATGAACTTGGTCACGCCCTAGGACTTTTCCATACTATGTCGCGCTACGATCGAGACGATTTCATAACAGTGGTCCCAGAAAATGTTGTGGTAAGCCACCTGTACATGAAACCATCTGTCAACCCTTGAATATCGCCGCAAAAAGGATTCTTAATGTTCCAGGAAGGCTTTGTGGATCAATACATCAAGGAAACACCTCAAACCACTACTAACTACGGATTCACCTACGACTATGGTAGCATTATGCACTACGGAGCAGCTAGGTGGATATGAATTGAATCATCCTTTGAACTGAGATGAAGTAATGCACTTTACAGTGCTTCGCACAACAAGAAACCTACAATGGTAGCCAATGACACAGGTATCAAGAATCGATGGGATCGCAAATCCTTTCATTTATTGATAAGTCCATGATCAACGATCATTACAACTGCAAAGGTAGGAAAAGCTAAGAAATGTGCCTACAATGAAAATGCATGGAGAAGTTGCTATTTAGCAAAATGTCCCAAAGCGACCTCAGCCAAGTGCCAGAATGGTGGATTCCCTCATCCACGAAAGTGCTCGGAATGTATTTGCCCAAGTGGTTATGGCGGCGCTCTTTGTGATCAAAGAGTAAGTTGAATAAGTTGAAAATGTCTTAATGACAACTTCACCGCCAGAAAATTTTTGCAGCCGCCGGATGTGGAAAGATATTGAAAGCGAAGGAGAGCAAGCAATTCCTTATCGACAAATTGGGATTTCCTTCGGGCGTCAGAGATGAATTCATGTTCTGCAATTACTGGATAGAAGTATGCGTCGACAATGATTACTTGATCACCACTAATTACGTGAAATTGATGCTCTTCCAGGCTCCTGAAGGGAAAAAGGTTGAGATCAAGATAAACTCCATCTCACATGGCTACGCTCATGATGGCTGCATTCTAGGAGGAGTTGAAATCAAATCCAGTAAAGATCAAATTCCTACCGGTTATCGGTGAGAGTGTTTTCAAGTCGAAAACCCGCCATCCAGCTACAAATTTGTTTTTGTAGGTTCTGCTCACCGAATGATCGTAACACAGTGCTTGTTTCGGCCTCAAATCGTGTGCCTGTGATCACGTTCAACAGATCCGGTCAACAACAGATTATTTTGGAATACAAGATCGTTTCATAGACACCTCCCTTGTTTCTAGTTCTGTGTTAATGAATAAAAATGGCTTAAAGATTCAATGTTTTGCTGTGAAGATAGCAGTCATACGCCATACCTATACTCACTGCTGGAATGTGCACTGATTAAGCTACGTTTCCGAAGCAGAAAAGAAAACCCTAGCAAAAAGCAGTTGCCTGATTCGCTGAACTCTCGCTGAGCACTCTTATAAAGTGAATGTAGAGCTTGTAACTTCTCATGACCGAAAATGCGTTTGTGACCTGTGAGTGCTTTGAAGTGATTCTTTTAAGCAAAGGTTACAAACGATGGATGTGTGAAGCTTTTCACATAATTATTGACAAAATATTATCAGGATCCGGTCCTATTCGAAATTCTGCAGTGGAATATTTAGAATTCTGAGGCTTCCAGAAGTCCTCAATGGCCAAACCAACGACTTTTGCAGATTTCGAAGTCAGCAGAGGGCTGAAATAAGTTCGGTTTTAACAATTCTATATCAGGTTTCAAACCTTTTTGCATAATTGTTGGTGTAGATACGTCCCAATTAGGGCCCATTTTTTCACAAATCCGTTATAGGCAAAAAGGGAGCAGCAGACGCCTTAGTCGCTAACTTGTAATTAATTGATTTCACTGAAACGCGTTGCCCTCCTTACCTTACCGGTGAGCATAGAAGAAGAATATCTTAGTTGTGAGGCCCTCATCTGATTGTAAAGACCATCGAGAAACTGAGAATAAATAGTTTACCTGAATACCCGAACTTTAGAAATTCGAGAAGCATAGCATCAGTTTTGATAATCAGCCTTTCCATCTTTCATTTTCAGGGTGGAAACGCTGCTCGCTTACCACCAGCACGGTCCGAGGATCGAATCTCGGCGTAGGGGGCGATCTCGCGGCCAATCAAGCTTATCAGACACCCCTGCTTTGCTCACTGTATCAGGCTTGGTATAGAGGATAACAACACTGATCTTTTTCATCGGCGGGCCCGCAATTCCGTTCTAGCCCATCTTCATTCAAAATTGCTAACTTCTGAACAATGAAATGTCGTTGGCTTATTTCACAAGCGTTGATCTCATGAACATTTTATCCTAATGCTTCAGCTTCCATTTGAGAAAAAATCGCATAACAATAACATAGGATAAATCTTTCGGTGATGATCAGTCCCTTTTTTACACATTCCACTTCCATTCTGAATCGTAGTGGAAGATTCAATGATTTTGTTGCTACAATCACTTTTATGGATCAGTCGATGTACAAGTCAATATTTTCATACCTCCAGACAAGTTGAGTACCAAATTTGACCCCGTGCGTGTAGGAACTGGGATCATTCTGGAGCCAGTCCATGCCGTCACACCACCGCGATTCTGAACTCAAGTAGAATAGGTGTAACATCCCCAAAGTGATAGATTAGCGCCAGTAGCTTTTGGAAAAAAGTGGGATCACCATAGGCGAGGTGAACTTCCAAATTCCCCGGCCCCACCATACTCACATACACACTATTGGCTCAAGCAACTTTTGGAGAGATGTTTTGGTGAGTTTGCATTTGAAATGTCCCGCAGGTTTACAGGACATTTCAAATGCTAGGTTCGCTCGAAATTCTAAAGGAGAGCCTCTTCTCCAGACCTAATTCTCTTCTTTGGGTTGATTGGAAGCATTCTAAGTTTATGAGCCTGAAACAAAAAAAGATATACAGCGGCAGTTTCCATGATCGAAGCAATCCCAGAAAGAATTCGCGGGGTGAAAACCGTTGATAATGGAGTTGTAGGTGAAAGTTGACCGATAGTGAAGAAAAAACCAAAGAAAAACGTCGAACAGGGCTTTAAACAGGGACTCCCCTCTGCCCTTCAGCAATGAGGGCGCCCGGTGCCGCCCACTCCGATCCCGCCCCGCCCATCCGATGTCCGTTCGTCGCCCTTTCTACCGGCTTCCCAAGGTGAGTTTTTGTTCAGTTCCACTTCATATGTGTTTAACTAGGGCTAGTGCTTCTTCCCACCCCATTGGCATCGAATGTTTAGAACCCTGCTGAGAGTGTTGCTTTAGCTAACGATTCCTCCGTCTATTCTTTGGGCCAACATAATATTTTGTAAACTAACTCTTATAGACAGTTGCACAGCAAGGAAAAATGCTGCATCCCTTTGAGATTGCTCAGAAAGCTTGTCTGTATCGGCTGGTCACTGCGCTTCCTTACTACGTTATCACTAACGACTATCAGCAAAAGGTTAGCAAACAAACTCGTTAATCAATGAAACTCCTATAGTACAAATTCTGCGATTACACTCTCTATGTGAGCTCTTGCAAAAGTACAAGTTAATGAAAACACCTTTTAAAATACGCCACAGCTACACTTCTTAGCGATGAAACACCAGTTCGGGGGGGGAAGCACCTCCATTGTCTCCAATTAATCCAGGTTCGAGGATGAGAGAGTCAGGCACACAGAAACGAATCTTATGGAGAATATGTGACTGCTGATCATGGTCCAAGGAAACGATCCTGGACCAGGAAAATGGACACCTCTAGAATAGGCTTAAAGGGTGGAGGAGCTCCAGAGGTGGATGGACCTGTGCGCGAAAAGTGGATGGGATGTGGCCAGGATAGTGTGGAATGTAGGGACATCCACCAGGTTTTTGTTATTCAACAAGAACGCACTCAAAATGAGTGATTTACACATTATATTTATCCATAGTGCTTGCAAGTCCAAGCGGTTGCTTTTCCCAGTACTACAGGAAAACGCATTAACAGGTGTGCCCCCCCCCCCAAACTGGAGCTTCACCCCTTCTTAGCGATACTGGTATTCCAAAAAAGAATTTGCGTGGGGCGCCAACGGCGCACGATTTTCTGGCACACAAGCACCGCCGCACAGGCGGTGAGTCTTGCAACAGAATACTGCTCATGATAGAACTGCTCTTTGAAAAGACGGGCACAGCATTCTTCCCATGTCGTTAGCGTTAGATGGCTACCAGGAAATGTTCAGTAATCTGTGGAGATAGGCTCTCCAAAAGCTCAGTTGGCTGTGCGTTCGGCTACAAGGTTATCAATGCTGTTGGGAAATGCGAGACGAAATGTGCTTTGTATAAAGCCCCCCCACCTGTATACATTCACCTCTAAATTTTTCCCAAACCCTCCTTTCAAGTTACCCTCCCCTTCAAGAAGCGAGAAAGTGTCGGGTGCAGACCAAACACCACAACTGACGACGGCATTTGACAAGCGACCAGGAAATTAATTGGTTGCAGTTGTATTCTATTAGCTATCCATCTAATTCTACTTCGCTCGTCATCATTTTATTCAGGTGAGTTATTTGTAACAACAGTAAACATGTTTTTCAGGCGTTTTCAATGATTTCACTGCTACCATCGAATGCTGTCGTGGTGAGTTTCGCAAATTTCAAACATTATGTCGAGTTCCCCTCACTTTTGGCTATTTTATGTGACCCGCTCTTCAAGCAGTGTCGTTGATGTGCCCTTATTACTGTCAAGGGTACTCTTCGATACCGTTTTGAAGCATGTGGTCACAATTTCTGGCCTGTGTTTCTCGCGGATGTCGTCACTTGTGGTGTGCGGTCTGCACCCGACGCTTACTCGCTTTTTGAAAAGGAGGGTATGTTTGGATTCGCATATAAACACTAAATTCCAATTTAAGCCATAAAAAATTCGGTGCTATCGCAATATACGTGGAGATGCTCTAGGACTAAGCCTAGGAGGGGGCAGGAATTGTCCTGTAATTCCTTGCCAT